CACCCGAGAAAAGAGAAGAAAAATGAAGAAAAGTCAACATAAAAGGCTGGGACCCACGGCTACACCCCCGAATTTACACCCCCCACTAGAGCAAAAAACATATTTACACCCCCCGGAGGTGTAAAGGGAATGTAAAGGTGGCTTTACACCCCCAAATTTACACCCCCTCACTGTGGATGCTCTAACAAATTAAAAAAATTAGGGTATCTAATTGTAAAAATAAAAAAAATAGGAACTAACATGTTTTAAAAGTATAGCTACAATGTACTAAACTGTGATTAACCCTTTTCGTTTTAACTCTGATTTGCACATAATACATGCCTACAAAGTCGTGAGAGCGAGCTCTACTAAAACTCGTCGGGGTCAAAGGTCTGCCCTATCGCTGGTGGTTGTGAAAGTAGCCAATCTCCCTTTAAAATTTCTTTTGCCCAAAAAAAACAGTCAACCAAAATGTCACTATTCACCACTTTAAGGGAAAAGTAGTCAAAGTGCACTAAAATTCAAATAAAATAAAATAAACCTTCAAAATTTAATTGCATGTGTTGTGCCTCTTTGTTTCAGACTCTAACACCTTTGTAAGAGCATTTACAATGGGCTCCCTAAACCACCTCCTAAGACAACTTTTAAGGAGGATTTGAAAAAATACAATTCCAACTATGCTTCCTATCCACACCTCCTATGGCCATCTCCAATCATAAAGCTAAATGTAGTCCAGTGCTATAAATTTAGTCCTCCAAAATATCAAATTTTTAAAGAATAGTGTAGGGTTAAATTTTTCCATCTCCAGCTATGCACGGCTATATTTTAGGGTTCTTTATATTTTATTATTTTGAGAAAAACTATGGTACAATACTCATACATTCAACAAGTATGTATTGTTTAATTTAATTAAATTATTATTTAGAGACAATATTCCATATATAACACGTGTACATTATATATATATATAAAAGGTTTTAAATATTAAAAAAAAGTAACTTTCAATCAATGGTTCTTACCACCAACGGTTTCCAACCAATTATATATATATATATATATATATATATTTCGAAAACAAAACGAATTTGAAAATATTTATAAAAAAAGCACCTAACGGCTAGCTGTGCCCTTAATATTGGCTATTGGATATGCAGTTGCACAAAATGTTTCGCGCTCTTGCCCACGTGTAATACTTTTTCTTCTTGGAAAGCACATGTGTTGGGCCCACAAAACAATTTGGCCTAGGCCAACATTGGGCTACAAGTAGCCTAGTTAGATCATCTCCAGTCATAGGGCTAAATGTAGTCTAGGGCTAAAAATTTAGCCCTCCAAAATATTAATTTTTTAAAGAATAGTGCATGGCTAAATTTTTCCATCTCCAACCATGTAGAGCTATATTTTAGGGTCCTTCATATTTTATTATTTTGAGAAAAACTATGGTACAACACTCATACATTCCATAACTATGTATTATTTAATTTAATTAAACTACTATTTAGAGGACAATATTCCATGACCAAGAATTTTTTATAATTTTTTTTAAACAACACTTGAAAACATTTAAAAAAGTGACCACATTTATTATAAAAAAGAAAAAGAAAAAAAAGGATGGGTTTCAATGGTCTGACCTCCAACAGTCATGACCAATAATTTTTTATAAATTTTTCTTAAATAACACGAATTGAAAACATTTTAAAAGGCTTTTAAATATATATAATATCCAGTTGACATCATTGATGACGTCAACACATATGAATTTGCACGAGATGATTCGTGCTCTTGCCCACACTTGATAATTTATCTTCTTCAAAAGCACATGCATGGGGCCCACAAAAAATTTGGCCTAGGCCAATGCTGGGCTACATGTGGCCTAATTGGAGGGCTAAAGGGCCAAATGTGGCCCTCCAAATTTGGCCAAATTTTTGTTTAGCCCATGGCTGGAGATGAGTTTTGCATTATTATAAGGCTATATTTGGGATATAGCCCATGGCTTAGGCTATCTCCAGTCATATGGCTAAATGTAGTCCAGATCTATAAATTTAGCCCTCCAAAATATTAATTTTTGTAAAGAATAGTGTAGGGCTAAATTTTTCCATCTCCAGCCATGCAGGGCTATATTTTAGGGTCATTCATATTTTATTATTTTGAGAAAAACTATGGTACAACACTTATACATTCCACAATTGTTTGATTTAATTAAACTACTATTTAGAGATAATATTCCATATATGACACGTATACGTTGATAACATTTAAAAAGGCTATTTAAAAATAATAATTATCCTAATGGCTAGCTGACGTCATTGATGATGTCAGTGCGCCTTTAATATTGGCTGTTGGATATGCATTTGCACAAGATGTTTCGTGCTCTTGCACACACTTAATAATTTCTCTTTTTGAAAAATACATGCATGGGCCCCCAAAAAAAATTTGGCCTAGGCCAAAGTTGGTCTACAATTGGCCTGGTTGGAGGGCTAAATGATCAAATGTGACCCTCCAAATTTGGCCATATATTTTTTTTTGGCCCATGGCTGGAGATGAGTTTTGCATTATTTTAGAGCTATATTTGGACTATGGCCCATGGCTGGAGATGGCCTTAGAGGGCTAAAGGGCCAAATGTGGCCAAATTTTTTTTAGCTCATGGTTGGAGATGAGTTTTGGATTATTTGAAGGCTGTATTTGACATATGGCCCATGGCTGGAGATAGCTTAAAATAAAAAGACATCTAGGAGCTACTAAATCTGAGAAGAAAGAAAGGATTCCTAGTGACTCCTATAATTTAATGATGCTTTATTTTATAACCTTTAATTAATGCTAATTTTTATTTTATTTTTTTTTTATAGAGATTGACCAATTAAAAAAGAGTTATAACATTTATGAGTCTCTAAACCAGAGAGTATGATTGAAGTTAAATTTTTATAGAGAGCTCCTAAAATAGCTTGCGTATGTTTTTAGCTAAATTTTAATTAAAAAATAAAGAGCATGATTGTAGATGCTCTAAACCTGCTGAATCCGATTATTTTGAGTCCTTTTTCTCTTCTACTATTTTCTTGTGAGAGTTCTGGATTAGTGTGGTATTTACACTACCTGAGAAGGAACCTCAAAATATTGTCCCTACATGGCACCTGAACAGAAATTAGAATGCGTGTGGAGTGTGGTCGTCAAACATGATTACGTGAACACCGAGCAAAAGCATCGTAGCTGAAAAGCCGTCCAAAAAGAAAAACGAAGTAAGCTGATTACCAAATTAATTAAAATATTAAAATATTTATTCAAGATATGAAATAATAAAAGCTAACGTCATTCCTATTTTGAAATTCAGTTATCGGTTGTATCTGGGAGAGACTTGGACATCCCCTCTCTCTCTATATAAACGGGAGGGAGAGAGGGAGAGAGATATACATATATAAATGGCGGCAACTTTTCTGGCAAAGCTTTTGATCACTGCCGCAGTACTGCTGCCTTCTGCGGTGGTTCTGTGCAGTTTCCCCGCCACTCTGACTCTGGAGAGAGCTTTTCCAACAAACCACAGAGTGGAACTGAGTCAACTCAGAGCTAGAGACCGTGTCCGGCATGGAAGGATGTTGCAGCAGTCCTCTAGTGGCGGCGGCGGCGTCATCAATTTCCCCGTTGGAGGGACCTTCGATCCATACATAGTTGGGTACAGTTTTCTGCCAAATTCTTAAATTTTTTATTGTATGATTAATGCTTTTCCTTGCAAATGTCACATAACATGTTTTGTTAGAATTATGTAAATAATGTTAGTTAGTCCACGTCTTGGTTTTGAATAAGTCATGATTAAACAATACAATTCATTTGATGTCCACGTCTTAACAATGTTAGTTGAAGAGTTGTAGTAATTAAACAAACATATTATATCATCATTGACTCAAAGCCAATCATTGAATAGGTCAATTTCTTCATAGAGATGATTTCTTTTTACCCTTTTGGGTTTTCTTCTCTTTTACTTGTATTTTTGTTTAAGTTATCAGACTGGTAGATGATTTGGTTCTGGAGTAATCATAAAGGGACATAATCATATCATTACTCAGAGATCATTTTTAATTTTTTTTTTGGATTTAGGCTTTATTTCACAAGTGTGAACTTGGGTACACCTGCAACAGAGTTTTATGTGCAGATTGATACTGGAAGTGATATTTTGTGGGTTGGTTGCAATTCCTGCAATGGTTGCCCCCAATCAACTGGACTTAAAGTAAACTCACCTCTTCCTTTATCCTAATTTAAATCTTGTCAAGTTTTAAAACATAATCAGGAGGGAAAACATACTGCTGAAGTTTCTGAATGAGTGATATGATCCTCTGGTTTTCATGCAGATTCAGCTGAAATCTTTTGACCCTAAAAGCTCACCAACTGCCTCATTGGTCTCTTGTTCTGATAAAATATGCTCCCTTGGAATTCAGACACAAGATTCTAGCTGTGATGCAAACGATAAGCAGTGTACTTATGCTTTCGAGTACGGAGATGGCAGTAAAACATCGGGCTATTATGTATCAGACTTGTTGCATTTTGACACAGCTGGCGGTGATCAGTCTGGCACCTCAAACTCTTCAGCTAACATTGTTTTTGGGTAATATATGATGTATTCTTCCCTATAGTTAAGAACAACAGTCTTATTTCCGTGCGTGATTGTTTTTTGATTTGAACGAAGCCTCAAATGGTGAATTTTGAAACAGGTGTAGCACCTTAGCTTCCGGGGTCTTGCAGAAAACCGATAGAGCAGTTGATGGGATTTTTGGATTTGGACAGCAGGAAATTTCTGTCATCTCACAGCTGTCTTCACAGGGAGTAGCACCAAAAGTATTTTCCCACTGCTTGAAAGGAGATGACACTGGTGGGGGGATATTGGTTCTTGGTGAGATCGTGGATCCTAACATCGTTTATAGCCCGCTTGTCCAAAATCAGTATGTGTAGAGCAGTACAAGTATCATTTTATATTTTGTGAAACTAAATGGAACTATTGTGAGCTCTACAACATGACTAACACTTATATTCACATGCATCATTGCAGACGTATCTTTTTTAGGTTGTAACCTATAGCTATTTTCTAGTTTGAATTTTAAGACTTGTTAACACAAACTAGTAACCTGAACTACTCATGTTGCCAGAACAGTACAGTTTAAATGAATACATTTCAGTGGAGGGTGAAAATAATTGCAGACCTTAACATGTGAACTAGCACTTAATTGCAGCAAAAGCTTGGCCCTCTCTCAATTCTATTTTGAAATGTTGGATGTTATGCTACCTTTTCCCTATTCATTTTGTAACGCATATGATTTTTTAATCATATAAAGCTTGGCTGCTGTAACTTTAACTAAATCTACTGGGATGCTCGGAATTTCAGGCCTCATTATAACTTAAATCTGGAGAGCATTAGTGTTAACGGCCAGACGCTAGCCATTGATTCATCAGTTTTTTCAACATCAAGCAACCAAGGAACAATAGTTGATTCTGGGACAACTTTGGCATACCTTGCACAAGATGCATATGATCCTTTTGTCAATGCTGTAATTTTCTGTTTAAAAAAACTTCACTGTTTAACTGATCTATTTAACTTCTGGTGATTCTTGATCTCTACTTTTAGTTTTTATACTTTCAACCTGAATTCAGTCTTTTGGGAAAATTAAAGCTGGATTGTTGTTTGATTTTAATAGATGGCTGAGGAAGTGAAACAAAAGGTGAATAACATGTTATTTTGTTTCTTTGCAGATAACAAGCGCTGTCTCACAATCCGTGACCCCTGTTACCTCCCAGGGAGAACAATGCTACATAGTCACATCCAGGTTCACATTTTGAATATTTTATCTCAGTCGATTCAACGTTTGAGGGCTGCTAATATTTCAGCTCAATTGTAATTCTTAAAGTGTGTTTTTCTCCATTCAGCATCACTGGTATATTTCCTCAAGTTAACTTGAACTTTGCTAGTAATGCATCCATGATTCTAAGACCGGAGGACTACCTTTTGCAGCAGAATACTGTAGTGAGTTTATTTTTCCGTACTTCTTATTTATTTCTTCCCCTGATTTTCAAGTGTTAAAAGCTTGTGCAGTTGTTTTCATTTAGTCTGAAATTGTGATGAACAACTTCTTTTGTTGTACAATTTGCTTCTGTCTACTCTTTAAGCTAGTTTGGCTTTCTGTAGACTGTATGATAAGATTAAAGCATGGACTAAACATTTCAGCTTCACCATATTAGTGTGGAAGAAACAATATGTTCCTGATTCTGTCAACTTTTGTTTGGTTTCCTTCAAAATAGACAGACTTTGACATCTAAATCACTTTAAGCAGGACTAGCTTGCATTAGGCTATAGGAATCTCTAAGAATGTTCCATCTACAGAAATATCGTACATTTTCCAATTACAGTATGTTCTTAGATATCTCTTCCTTGGCGCTTTCTTTCTCTGCTTCTGTCCTTGGCTGCGGTTTCTGTTTCAAAGTTTTGCAAACTGCACATCATTCGAACAAGCTTTATCCTTCCCAAATGAAATCAAGTTTTATCGTATAACTGTGTAACTGTTTTTTTTTATATATTTAAATCCTGCATCTTGAACTGAAATAGGGAATTTTTTTCTTCTCTTTGTTCCAGAATGGTGATGAAGTATGGTGCATTGGCATCCAGAAAAGTGACGGTCAAGATGTAACTGTATTGGGAGGTATGATAAATAAATTCAAATTTATTTAGCTAAGTTTGTTCAAACACCATTCTCTAACAGGCTAGAATTTTGATGATCAGTCATCATTTCTCTTATCAAATTCTTTTTAATGCCTTACTTTAGTAGTTCAGAACTTTCAACCTTTCCAAATGTAGTACATTTTCTTATCTGCTTGTTTAGTTTTGTGTTTTGTTATTGAGTTATCTTTTCACTAAAAGGACACTTACATCAATCGTCGTCCTCTTTCGCAGACCTCATCCTGAAAGACAAAATCATTGTCTATGATTTGGCCAATCAACGGATTGGTTGGACTCAATATGACTGTAAGTAGGGATATTAGTTATTTCTTATTCCAAGTTCATCACACAATTCTCCGACCGCGAAAATTATATTCGAAAACTACAAAAAAAGTAGAAAACAAAAACAGGAGAAAAACAATGGAGTTTCTATCCTGCATTCTGATTGTATGTGTATGAATGTTTCTCTCAGGTTCAACGTCAGTCAACGTCTCAACAAATACTAGCAGAGGAACTGCATCTGTTAATGCAGGGTCCATAAACGTTACCAGTTCAGCATGCAGCGAGCCTTTCAAACTCGTGCCGATAAGCATGGTGGCTTTCCTTGTTCACATATCAGTCATTTACATTTTCCCATTCTTGTAGCACCTATAGACGTTTGGCCTACATGACAGGATTGTTTCTCAGGGATGAGATTAGCTCATTGCACATATTGTGCAGTAGGTCTCTTACCATTCTTTGTTTGACAATACTTTGCGCGCTATTCTGGAGTTTCTCACGAGTTCAGCAAGATCATACAAGCAGTTTTACAGCAGTCTGGCAGTCTGTTTGTAGCTGCTCACTGTGGAGCAGATTTGGTCTTTTTTTTATTTTCTGTTTTTATTTTTTGCCAAATTTTTATTTTGTGTTTTTGGTTAGGACTATTAATTCTTCATTTGAGGCACATTGAGGTACAGATTTCCTTAGCTTGATTGGCACCATTGTAAATGACATTGATAAAGTTATTCATTTCATACATTATACATGCCAGATTTAGACTAACTACAGCATCTTCATAGAAGGGCATTTCAAGATTGGCCCTCTGTTGGATTTCATCTAGGTGAAAACCAAATTAACAAAGTATACCCTGTTTTGCATTAGCTAATCACTTTCTTTATGTAAAAGTTACACTCCTAAAATACCCTTGATTAATTAAAGTGCTAAAAGAACACAATTCAATTTCCTGAAGATAAAAAGGTAATTAACGAATCATTTAAATAAGAAATTTAAAACAATGGAAAAGAACCTTGACTTGCATAGTTCGAACCCCCATGCCCGTGTGTGAGAAATCCCACTCATTTATATTTTAGACTATCTATTGTATTTTTTTTTTTTTAAACCCTCAACTCTTTTGCCTTGTTTCTACTTTTGTTTTAATAATTAACTAGCCTCTTCGTATGCGTTTCTGTGACTGCGAGAGACTTTTTTTTAAAACATTTTAAAATTTATTTTAGAATTAAAAAATTAATGGATAGCTGTGTTTCATAAAAATAGGATTCATTATTTGAGGTTTCTTTTAATTTTAATTTTTTTTAATATAAAAAAGTGTGAATTTACCATATTATCCTCATTTAATTAATAATTTCAATTCTTAATGTTTGCTTTAACAAATGGCATTTTTTGATATTTTAAATGTTTTACTATTCTCTGCATTTTACTTTTTATATATAGAAGATAAAACAGAAAAAATATAAATAAATAAAAACATAGATATTAATTTTGAAAAAAAAAAACTGATTGGCGCGCATGTGAGAGTGTCAAGAGGCTATTTTGCTCCAACCCTAATCTCCTCGAAACAAATCAACATTGTTAAAATTAGAACTTCCACTCTCTCTCCCCCTCTCTAACTTGTTGTTGAACAATTGAAATTCCAGCAGAAATCCAGGCTCCCTAAACCCAAAAATCTGATTCGCCGATTGACTAAAGCACTCCCTGCCTTCAACAGCAAACCAGCATGGTTTCTGACCACCCAACCTGCCCCACCTTTTGATGTTGATGTTTCCAAAGACTTTTTTTTTTGACAAATGCCTGTTGGTTCATTGGGGCAAAACGTCGAACCGAATAATTGGGGGGCAATGCTTGCCTAGACTTCCAGCAGTCCGGGGCTCAAGAAATTTGGCTCAGGCGGCGGTTTATGGCGTTGGGGGGTCACTTGACCACCCTTGCTTGGCCGACTTGGCTGACTGCTTATTGCCGAAATATCCTAAGGCAGAGCAGAGCAGAATTGGGGGTTCTGATTCAAAAGTAATTTAACTTTGCCCTCATTCCTCCTTATTCTTTTGTTTCTTTTTCCTCTACTTTGCTTCAGCTATTGAATCATTAATACCCACTTCAATTTTTGATATGTTCAGGGTTAGCTTTGAATAAGATTATAGTATTAATTCCTGGTTATGTTGAAGCATTGGTTGCCGTAGCATTATAGGGTTCACTGATTTAACTTTGCCCTCATTCCTCCTTATTCTTTTGTTTCTTTTTCCTCTACTTTGCTTCAGCTATTGAATCATTAATACCCAAATCAATTTTTGGTATGTTCAGGGTTAGCTTTGAATAAGATTATAGTATTAATTCCTGGTTATGTTGAACATTGATTGTCGTTGCATTATAGGGCTCACTGGGATTTCCTATTTACTACTTAGTTCATTGGTTGATGAACTTCATAATTTACCCTCATTGCTTTGTTTAGGTTTATAGTTTGAGACTATTTCCCAAAAGAAGAAAAAAAAGGTTTTCAAGTGAATGTGAATGGAGGATCCTAGTTTAATATACAGCCTCAGCACCCAAGAGTTAAATCTCTTCTCTTCATGAATGATTAGAAGTTATTGTTGCAGGGTAAAGCTCTGGTGTTCGTGTGTTGCCAATGAAGTTTGTAAGTTTCTTTGTCAATATTTACGTACATATGGATTATTCATATATAAATATTAAAAAAAAAATTGTGGGGATTATTTTTTATACGTTATTTTTATGGTTCTGTTTTTTATTTTGTTTTTGCAGTCCTGCTTGAGCAAAGGTGGTGGTTACCATTTCCCACCATGTCACATACTCAACATATGTGGTTTTAGCATTTTATTGGATTGCCCATTAGACCTTTCAGCTCTTACAATCTTCTCCCCTATTCCTACTAGTTCAAAAGCTAGTTCCTTAGATAAAGAGAATCCCAGTTGCCCAAACCATAGTGATTCTTCAGATTTGGAGGAGCCTATGGTTCGGAAGAGACAAAAAGTCGAAAAGCCCCTGGATGCCGATGATTTAATTTATGCAGAGCCTTGGTACAAAACTGTCAAGAACTTGCACCTGTGGAATGTCTCGTTTATTGATGTGGTATTGATATCAAGTCCAACGGGTATGCTAGGATTACCATTTCTTACTCGAATGAAGGGTTTTTCTGCTAAGGTAAATACATTAAGGAATTAGTTGTTAACTTTGATTTCTGACGTTTCCGCCAAATTGAATCTGGTTTTAATAGTTTTTTTTTTGGTGCTTAAAATGTGTCAGATATATGTGACTGAAGCAACAGCAAGACTTGGACAGCTTATGATGGAGGATCTTGTTTCAATGCATCTGGAAATCAGACAGTTTTTTGGACCTGAGGAGTCGTCTTTTCCCCAGTGGATGAAGTGGGAAGATCTTACGCTTCTTCCGTCTTCATTGAAAGAGGTAGCTTTAGGCAAAGATGGGGGAGAACTGGGTGGTTGGCTTTCCTTGTACAGGTAAATTAATATTCCACCCAAATAGTTAATGTTGTTTGTTTCATGATTAGATTTTCTTGGTGGAATATGCCAACTGTCAGAAAGTTGTATCTAATTAAAGAGTCTTGTTACGCGTGCTGTTGCACTTGGACATGTTTCCTCTAGATAGATAACCTCTTTATAAATTTGTGATCTGGAATTGCTGTCATTGTCAGCTTCTCCATTGGCAGGTGATGGAGAAGGAGCTAAATTTCTTTGACATTTTCCTAACTTTGAATCTATGAAATTTCCTTAGGGTGTAGATCATGGAAATGTTCTCTTGTCAGACAGTCAGACATGTTATGTTACTAGACTTAAGTCTGAGCTATTTTTCAGGTGGTTAGTAGGATGTGGTTCAAATTGACATATCTGGATGTAACACTGTCTGACTAATATACTTGGTCGTTTTTTACCCCTCATATTGTCTGAAATATCTATATAGCAAGTTTCTCTATATGAGAATGTAATAGAGATTGCTTCTACTTCTCAGTGCAGCTGATGTGAAGGATTGCATGCAGAAGGTTCTGAGACTTAAATATGCAGAGGAAATCTGCTACAACAGCACATTGATCATAAAGGCATTCAGTTCGGGTTTAGAAATAGGCTCTTGTAATTGGACAATAAATGGTCCCAAGGGAGGCGTTGGCTTTATTTCAAGTTCCATCTTTGATTCTGCTCATGCAATGAATTTTGATTACAATGCTCTTCGAGGGAATGATATAATAATATATTCAGATTTCTCATTCTCGGATACCACGGAACATGTTGAGAGTGGCTATGATAACTCCATTCCAACTACTTGCAATTGGTCATCTCTCAGGTATTACGCTTACATAGCATTTACCATGTTCTTCTTTTTTATGAGGTTTGATAAATTTGCCAGATTTGTTCTTTATTGGTATAAAGGTTTTAACTTTTCTAAGTCAATATCCTCAAAATGTGAAAATCAAATCTTTAAACTATTGGAATGATGTGTGCAGAAATTATGAAAATGATTGTCAAGAGTTGGCCAAGTCCTTACTTAATGTTGATGAGGGTTTGGAGGAAAGGGACAAGCTAGCTTTTATATGCTCCTGTGTCATTGATTCCGTAAAAGCTGGAGGTTCAGTCCTTATTCCCATTAGTCGACTGGGAATTGTTCTGCTGCTGTTAGAACAGATATCAACTTCACTAGATGTTTCAACTTTGAAGGTATCTATAAATTTTTTTTGTCTTTTGCTTACTTGCTTAATGAAATTAACTAATTGTATTTCTCTCGAAGATGAATGCTTAACGGGAGTTCTATAAAATTTTAGAGGTTGTTAGTTACATGCTGAGACATAATAGTCTTTGATACAGAAATGTGGCAAAGTGTTACTTTTATGGCATATAATGGAGCATGTGTGGAATTCTTGTCTTGTTTCAGGTTCCTATGTATATTATTTCTTCTCTAGCTGAAGAATTCTTGGCTTTCTCCAACATCATACCTGAATGGCTATGCAAACAGCGGCAAGAAAAGGTAAAAATATTGAGCTTGTTATTCATCACATTGTGCTTGGAGATTTCATTTAATTGTTAGAATTGCCAACTTAAGACATTGCAGTCACTCTTTTTCAATTGGTCTTGCAGCTTTTTTCTGGTGAGCCATTGTTTGCACATGCCAAGCTTGTAAATGAGAAGAAGCTTCATGTGTTTCCGGCAGTTCATTCACCCAAATTATTGTGAGTTCCACATTTGTCTTTCTTATTTAGAATATTTCTTCATGGTCACTGTTGTGGAGTCAATATTCAGAACTTATATACCTTAGCTTAAATGAGATTTGCATAGATTAATGGCTTTCGATTTGGCTGATTTTATCAAGTTTTGTGTCTATCAGCCAACTATCACTTCAATCTCACCTCTTTTGTGGACAAAGTTTGGGATGAAACTCTGTTATTTTTTTTCGTTTTCATTAATAACCAAAAAATGGAAAGTTGGGGACCTTGATTATATTATTATCTTTTCCTTTCTTCATTCCTAAGCCAAACATGGGGAAACTATCTGCTTCATATAGCCCAAATGTTGTTGCTCACCTATTATGCGATTTGTCATGCTTAAAGGTGGAAGGGGAAACGACAGGAAGCAGTGTATTTCCTGTCCTTCTGGGGATATTAATCAGAAATCAATGTATACCAAAAGAAAAAAAAGAAAAATTTGCAACCAAAAGTTGTTCTGGTAGTTCCATTTTGTTCTATTTGTATAAGCAAGATTTTTTTTCCTTGTTTATATATTAGATTTCATCTCTTTAATAAGTCCCCTGTTATTTTCTGCTCAAAATAGCTACCTAAAGATTTGAAGCAGATTAGCTCTTTGAAATCAAATTCATGCTCGACCTTTCACTACTGCATTAATGAAACGTTACGTATACCAAGCTTGAAGGACAATTCAGAACTAGAGATTGCAACAGATTTAGCTTCCCAGTTTAATTGGAGGAACTTGAAACAGGAAAATATTAATATGACAAGGTTAAAGGGAGAGCTCTGCGTAGATCATGGAAGACAACGGTTGTCCACTGGCAATCAAGAGTCCTCAGAGAGTAGACCGCTGGTACACTGGGGTTCACCTGATTTGGAGAAGCTTTTGGTTGTGTTATCAAACAGGGGCATCAAGGCAACGCTTAGCGATGCATTTGGTTCTGAATCAGAAAGTGCTTCTCTAGTACATGTCCATGATCCCAACCAAGCTCTTATAGAAGTCAGAACAACAAGCACTGTTATTAGTACTGCTCATGAAAGTTTGGCCTCCATTATTTTTGAAGCTATAGGTAGTGTTCTAGATGGCGTTTAGATGAAAGGAATTTCACTTGTTTCATGCAATTCTTATCGGCCATGTTTGGTGACTAGGATTGGACTGGCAACATGCATAGTTTACTGTATGTAACGATGAGATATTGCTACTTTTCTTTGCAAAGGTGACAGTTAAGGCGGCCAGAAGGATTTCTACCTTACTTGCTGTCTTTGCTTCAACAACTGGACAAAGGATTAGTTTCCATAAGTCGACTTTCTTTTTTTCCAAAAATGTTTCTAATGCTTGCCGACAACAATTGGTCCAATTTTTGCAAATACAGCATAAAGTTACTTTGGAAAGGCCTCTTGGAATAAATAATATCCTGAAGTGGAAGGACTCCTTTAATACCTCGGATTTCCTGGACTGCTCAGAGGAAATTCTCTTCTTGGAAAGGTAACTTACTGCAGCTCCTATTGCAAATAGGGCCCCTATTTCCATCCTTTCCCGAGATTTCCTCTAATATTGTTGGTAATTTGTCTTAATAATTTGTCTCGGTAATTTTTCTGGAGAAAGGATGGACATAGGGCCCCTCCTATTGCTTGGAAGGAAATCCGTTAACCTTGCAGCTCTTACAAAATTGGGTTGGAATGTTCTTAATTGCCTCAAAAATGGTGAGTTCAACTTGTATCAAAAATTTATTTGTTTCATCACTCCTTTTTCGCGGCTCCTATTAAATCTGGACATTCTGCAACCTGGAAAGCAATTTCGGAGGCTAGAGATCTACTTTGTAATGGTAATGAACCGTTGGTAATGGTGAGCTTATCTCTTCCTGGACTCATATTTGAGTCCTTTTTCCTTTATTCCTTCTCCTTGATGTCTCTCAGCAGCGTAATGTTGATTGGGACCTAAAGGTTTGTAATTTATTCAAGATGGTCTGTTGGAATGAGGAAGATCTTAGAAAAGAAAAGTTGTGCTTTATCTTTTGGTCAAAAGAATATTGACTATTCAATTTCTGTCTAGGCAATTCCAGCAACATTTTGTTGTTGGGTTGTAAGTTGGATTGCTTAGACAGAAATTCAACTTGCTGGAATGAAAGCTCAATATCCCCTGTGAAAGCTCAATTTGATATTCGATTCAAGCCCTGTGAGTTAATATCAAGTATAAACCAAAGTAACACCATCAATTGTGAATTTACATAATTCAATCATGAAGATATGACTTAATGACAATCCAATTCTCATATCCATACCTCTAATTCAGTGCAAAGTAGCATGGGTTGAATTGTTTGGTGCTAATGAGCTTCTAAGATCTACAAAATAGGGGGTTTCACTAAAACACCCAAAATGGGGGCTGAAATTATAAAAAAACCCAACACCCAAAACACTTTATAAACACACCCAAAACTCATCATTACACACACTCAAAATCCATCTATAAACACACCCAAAAAATATACAATTGTTGATTTTGGGGTTGATTTTGGGTGTGTTTCTATGTTTAAATAGTGTGTGGGTTTTTTTATAAATACATGCCTAGGATTGGGTTTATTTATAATAATACATCTCTTGAATAGTTGGCTTATACTCTAAAGAGGAGATTTCATCGGACTTTAATCAATTTTGATTACAAATTAAGGCTTTCACAATCATAGGAGTCAATGAAGCACAAAAGGAATTGACTTCTCAACCACTCGTGCTAAAGCATGATTCCCAAGCTACTGTTGATACTGGGATGGCAAGTACATCTTTTGCAATAAGTGACAACCCTGGATATTTAACCCCATTCAATTTCCACAACTTCAAAATATCAAAGTCAGGAACCATTTTTTAAATAAGATTGGTTCAACATCACTTGATTGAGATTCTTTTACCCAATTTTCCACCAATTGCATTGTTTTCGTTTCCCCTCGGTCCATGCTGGTGGTACTAGTATTAATATCTTCACTAGTAGTGCTAGATTCATGAGTGGGTGTTGGTTGTGGGATATCATACTCTTCATAGAGTTTTATTATAAGACTTTTACCTCATTCTTCTTCTTAATAGCATCTTCCGATCTTTCATATCGACTCTTCAAGACAAATTCTTAGTTGCCCAACTTGAATCGAGGATCAAGCACAAGTGCTACCAACAAAAGCTGGTTCACTTTATCTATGTTACCCCAATACTTTTCAATTTTTTCTTCATGCTTTGTGTCATATCATTCAATACCTTGGCTTGGAAGTGCGGGTTTCAATTTCCATCATATAATCTCCCATGACCAAATCCTCAATTTCACATTCCATTGCAATCAAGTCATGAAAGGTGGTGTGAGAAGCTGAATGTTAAGAAAGACTCGTCTTCAATGTGGCTTCATAAAACACCTTTAGAAATTTAACAAAAATAAGAGCATTGCTCCAATCTTCATCATTTTGTTAGACTTCGCAAATGGGTCATATTTTCCGTTCGTGTCAACATGCTTTTTTTAAGAGATTTTCTATTTAAACCCCTCACTTCTCTTTGTTCACCCCAATACTTAAATCATTAAGCTGTAAGTTTTATTATTGTGTAAAAAGACAAAAAAGGTCATCCAACTTAATAATTAACCCTAGTACATCTTGGAAAGGTTTGTTGATTATCAACTCAACAATACCCAAGTGTTGGAATTCCAGTTACAGTTCTTGGAAAGAGGTAAAGTTGTTCTCTTTCTCTAGAAAGTACTAAATTTCAGGTTTAGGGTTCTATTTGTTTGTGTTTTTTTTTTTGCTAGGAACAAAGAAAATTGTGGGGTTTAAATAGAAAATCTCTTTTATTTCTTATTTTTTCAGTTTGGGTGTATTTAAGGGTAGTTTGGGAAGATAGTGGGGTTTTCTTAGAAATTGTGAAAATTTAAATTAAAAGATGGGGTGAACTTAGAACATGGGGTGAACTAAGAGAAGTGTGGGGTTTAAATAGAAAATCTCTTTTTTAATGGGTTGATGCGATACAACCCTCTAAGTTAACGGGTGAAAAATAACCGACACGAACACAACCCATTAGAGCAACTCCACCCATTTGCCATGGGAAAGGGCAAGGGGGGGCTAGGGCAAATACTATTCACGTGAATAGTGGCTTACCTTGCAAAAAGCAATATGTGTTTCCACCCGTTGCCATGGCAAAGGGCAAATACTATTCATTTATCTTTTTTTTTTTTTTTTAAACCTAAACAATTAATTCGGATAATATTTCAGATAAGATTTTTGGGTTCCTACGTGTCAATATTTATTATAAAATTCATATCTCATAATCAAAAAAAATTCGGATAAGATTTTCGGTTTCAAATTTCAGATAAATTTCAAATTTCAAATTTCAGATAAAATTTTCACCCTCTAAAATCGCGTCACGTGTCATCTCTATCTGCCTAAATTTTTCTATAAAACCAGAGGCTGAGCTCATACGTCTCACACCATATCTTCTCTTTATTTTCATTTCTCATATTTTAGAATTCATACTCCATTCTCAATGTCAGACATGAGGAGATGTTTGGAGAGGCAAGAGCGAGAAACTAATAAAAGAAGTTGTAGACGAGCTGAAGGCAAAAGGGTGCAGAGAGAACAAGTTCAACAAGTTGCCATAGCAGTGGCTTTGCTTGATGAAGAAAACCAAGGCCGCCGCTGTGGTTCACAAGTCAGCCGTGCCATACTCCCTTTCTTTTGCATATTTTGCTTGAATTGCCCGCTCGTCCGCTTGGGTTTTCATGTCTATTTCAATTCTCATAGCGCTGTGCCTTGAAATTTCCTCCAAAATTTTTGATGTATTATTACTAGAATTACTCCATCTCTTCACCTTCACCGCCTTTCGCCAATAGGCCTCGGCTCCTTTTTGATGGGTGAGTCTTGAGTTACCGGGGAATCCAAAGACGAATCCGATGCCGGTGAATCATGGAGTGACGTCTCGTTTAACATAACGTGCTGAAGACACCCACTTTGTCAAAGTCTTACAAAAGACTTAAATCCAGAGCCAATAGGAAGGCTAGGCCACGTGCACAATCTGCCTACAACAAAAGAAAGCTCCACTAAGACTGCCTATTTGCCTGCCGAAAGGCAAGACAGTGGGCACCCAATCAGAGAGCCATACGTGTAAGCTTTGTGTCGCCTTCGGCATCCCTTCACCTTCGGCACCCCCGTGCCTAAGCACATTGCCTTGCAACATGCAAGCTTTGTGTCGCATTCGGCATCTCTTCACCTTCGGCACCCCCGTGCCTAAGCACATTGCCTTGCAACATTCAAGCTTTGTGTCGCCTTCGGCATCCCATCACCTTCGGCAACCCCGTGCCTAAGCTCACCTTCGGCACCCCAATGCCAAAGCACATTGCCTTGCAACATGCAAGCTTTGGGTCGCCTTCGGCATCCCTTTGCCTTTGACACCTGCGATGATGTCATACCTTTCATTCGGAACTTCCTCGTTCGAAGCATGAAACCATCCCTTCACCTTCGGCACCCCCGTGCCTAAGCACATTGTCTTGCAACATGCAAGCTTTGTGTTGCCTTCGGCATCCCTTCACCTTCCGTACCTCGTGCCTAAGCACATTGCCTTGCAACATGCAAGCTTTGTGTCACCTTCGGCACCCCCGTGCCTAAGCAAATTGCCTTGCAACATGCAAGTTTTGTGTCGCCTTCGGTATCCCTTTGCTTTCGACACCCCCGTGTCTAAGCTTACTTTCGGCATTCCCGTGCCTAAGCACATTGCCTTTCAACATGCAAGCTTTGTGTCGCCTTCGGAATTCCTTCCCCTTCGGCACCCTCATGCCTAAGCACATTGCCTTGCAACATGCAAGCTTTGTGTCGCCTTCGGCACCCCCTGTGCCTAAGCTCACCTTTGACACCCCCGTGCCTAAGCATATTGCCTTGCAACATGCAAGCTTTGTGTCAACTTCGGCATCCCTTTGCCTAGGCACACTGCCTTGCGACATGCAAGCTTTGCACCCTCGACATCCCGTGCCCTTCAACATTTTATATTGCAACATGCAAGCTTTGTGCCTTCGGCACCTTTGTGCCCTTCGACACATTCTCTTGCAACATGAAAGTTTTGTGCCTTCGGCACTTTGTCTGGTGACATGCAAGTTTTGTACCTTCGGCACCCCCTGCCCTTCGGCATACTATGATGCCCTTCGGCACCCTCGCCCTTTGGCGTAGTATCATGCTCTTAGACACCCTTACATAACACACTGGAGACTTGCAAATCACTTAGGTTTTTTGTTGCAACTTCTCTCCCTCCAATGTCCTTCTTACTCGGGGACTTGGGGGACTAGGGATAGTGCATTATACGACTTGGAAGACGAATTACAGTGTTGCTCGGCCAATGCACTTAAAATTACAAATCCCCAAGCAAGAAGTACCTTCTTACTCGCGAACTTGAGGGACTACTGTTAGTACCATGACTAACCGACCAACCAGGAGTCCCACATCGAAAAACTACAAGAGATGGAGACTCCCCCTCACTTATAAAAGAAGACTACTCTCCCCTTAGAAAAGGGCGCTCTCTTCGAGACTCTCGTGCTGGTCTGGTCTTCAGGTCCTGGGTCTCCAAATCTTGGGGCTTGACCCATGGGCTTCAGATTCCTAGCTTTGTACCTTAGGCCCTAGGCCTTCTTCCATTTATCTTTGGGTCTAATCCCCTTGTAAAAATATAAACAAACATTATTATAATGAGAACATCTACTCCGTAGACGTAGCCCATCATTTAGGTGAACCGCGTATATCTTGTCTTCTGCATGCTTATTTACTGTATTTACCTTAACTGCCGAAGGTACATACACCTGCTGAAGACCCACGTCTTCACACATCACCCACCATTCCACCTCTATCTAAGTTGACCTCCCAAAAAGAGCATCAACAGAATAGATAGCGTAAGAATCGACTGCCCACTTCACCTCGGTGGAACATGTATAAAGCGACTTTTCCTCGTCAATAATCTTCCATATCCATGCCTCTCTTCTCCATCTCAAATAAACCCCAATGAATG